GTCCAAAGTGTCAACGTTTTACTGCTCATCGAAATCAAAATAATGTCAGCAAGACGCTCTTCATTCTTAGTAATCTAAATTGAGACAATTATCAAAATTGAAATGAGGCAGTCAATTTTAAATTATTATCATTGACAGTTTTAAATTAAGAAAGAATTAATTGAAATATTATATCGTACAAAATCGTGCAATTCCGGATTACTTAATTTCCACAAGAATAAATTTAAATGATCAAATTTTGTAGGTGCAACTTAGCCATTGATAAAGTAACAAACTTATTTTCCAACTTAACTTAGCTATATCATTAAACTATGAAAATCGTGCAATTCCGGATTGCTCAATTTGCCATAGTTATCTGAAATTTCATGCTTCAGTAAAGTAAAATTCTAAAAATTAAAAATTTCCTAACAAAAACCTTTCGGATAATACGAAGAGCTTCTGAACGTTGATCCACTCTTGGATACAGTAAAGCTTTATGAAATATTGCTTCCAGTACGCTTCGCATTCCATCAATACCGGCAAGAATTCGTAATAACTGCTCGATAATCCTGAAAATGATGTGATATAATTTCAGGATATAATTCATAATTACATTTCATATACTATTTTAATGTGTTTAAAATAGTAATCACTTACTGATACAATGAGAGTACAATTTCCGGATGATCAAAAATCGTCTTATTATTTGTCGTCATCGACCTTTGACCTCGTCCAAACGGTTCATTATCTTCAGTAATATCATGATTACTCTTTTCCGGTTCTCCTAACATTTTCATCATGCATGGACTTAATTCACGCCTGGAAAGTTAGATATTAAAGAAAAATTTTCAGAATATTTTTCTTTGATAAATTTCGTTTCAGCCAGTACTGAGAAACCATTGGAGTACTTTAAGTCAAAATAATTTATCTCAATTTCTTAATCCCAATTATAATCTTAATTAATACTTGCTATTTTCCTGTAGCAATTATATCAATAATAAATTGGAAAGAAAAATTTTCGAATTAAACCAAGTACAACTCATTTTCGCATTAAAAACATGTTAAAAATGCAGATAAAGTTTCAAATAAATCCTTTTTTTGTAAAACCAAATTTATGGCTTTGATTCGAATTTGCTATAATAGAAAATGTATTATATCAAAATAATAAAAGAGAAAAAAAAAGGGAAAAATTAATACTTGAATTTCCGGATATAATATTGAATTTAATAGTAAAATTCACTGTATAATGCATGTTTCATTGTAAGTCACAAATTTTTCCATTAACTTTTTTTTTTTTTTTAAATGATCACTAATTAATTCAAGATATATACCAAATAATATTGACAAATGGTTGATGATTGATAATAGTAATTGGTTGTGAATTAAGAATACTGTATATGGCATCTAGTAAGATGATAATTTGATCCGATTGCGGATTTGTGACATTTGCGCATTTGATTACTTCATTTAATAATGATGTAACATCCATAAAAATAGCTGTGTGTTCCTGGCAATGGCTATTCTGAAAATGATTAAATAATCTTTTCTTGAATAAATATTTAATAATAAATTAATCCTTTATAATAATTAACAGATTAAAGAAATATTAAATTATTCAACTGAATTGATTGTTTGAAAATTAACTTTATTTGACAATTATTTTATTATCATTATCATATGTATTATCATATAAAAGTATATATATATATATATACTTCAATGATTCAATATTAAGCAAACAAACAAAATATTTATTTTAAAAAACTTTTATAGAAAAAAAAAAAAAACAAATTAATGAATTTTAGATTATTATTATTCATAAATTTATTAGTAATACAATTATTATTTAGATGATTACCCGTAAATTTATCAGTAATATCTGATAATAATTTCATGATAAAAGGTCAAATTTGTTGATTAACCTGAGGTAATGTGCAGAATGAGCTAAAAATCTGAGTGACAGCTGCACGACAAGCTAATTGAACGCTTCTTTCTTCGGCATTCCCATACGTTTGCATACATAACTGTACCAGCAAAGAGAAAAAAACGGTTATTTCAAGTATAAATCATTTTAAGTTAAATATTTTTAGAAAGTATTAAATTGATATTAAATATTAGGTTGCACAAGAATTATCTCTCAAATTGAAATATAATTTAGACAAAAATTTAAACAATAATAATTTAATACTTACTAAAAAGGCTTAACTAAAGTAATTATTTAATAGGTATAATATACAAAATTACATATTATGTGAGAAGAAGAGAAGAAAAATAAAATAAGACTAAAAAAATTTAAATCCCAAATTATTTGATTTCAAATGACATATCAATAATATTATCCTTCACTTGTCATCTTATCTATAACTATGATTGGGAGACAAAAAATCTTAAATATTAACATTATATTTTAATTTTTTTTTAAATTTAAAATTGAAAATCAATCTTAATTATATAATAAAAAGCAGCTAATCAAATTTTTTAGAGATATTTTGAAAAAAAAAATAAAATCACTAACCGTTAAAGCTTCCATTACTATTTCGATTATAATTCGTCGTTCTTCCTTACACATTAATTCAACAATTAACTGTAAAATAATGCGAAGACATGTAAATTTTTTAGATGAAATCAAAATAATAATTCAAATTTAAACTAAATGTTGAAATTAGAATTTAAAAAATGAAAATAAGCAATTTACCGTCAAAATGCGACATTGAATGGGAGCTTTGATTACCGGTAACAAAGTTATTGACTTTAATGTTGACATCATTAAGGTGTCACTTTCAGAAGTTGTCGCTTTATTCATAAAGCGTTCATCTCGAATTAATGTCTAAGTAAAGAAAAACTAGAAAAATACAATAATTAAAACAGTTTTGCTTACAATAATACTATTACTGACAATGGCTATATTGTAAGTTTGCATTTATAAAATTTTAAAATTAATTGTCATCCTAGCTTATATCTTTCCGATCCAATCTAAAATGACTAATAAAAAAAAAATAATGCAACATATATGATTAAGTTGATTATCAAAAATTAATATAAAATTCATACAAGACTTCTCTCTTAATAACTTATACATGTAATGGATTAAATTTTAATTATCAGTTAATTCTGTGAGATATTTTTATGAAAAATAAAAAGAAAATATGTTACATAACTAATTAAATCGATCACATAACAATGATATATTTTTACGTCTAACACTAATTAATAAAACAATTAAAATCTTTTTCCATCACAAATAAATCTTTTACAAAAGTTATGAATTAATTTAAGGAATTTACTTGAAGTAAATCAACAGCAGCTTGATTAATTTTCTGATGCTTGCATTGAAGTGCTAATTGTAATACATGAAGACATTTACCGCACAATGTAACCATTGTTACATCTTTGCTGTTCAGTATTTCTATAATTTTTTTTTTTTTTTTTGTTTAAATATTCAAAATGGAATTTAAAAATTTTGAATTATGAAAACCAAATAACTCTGTGAGATATGAGAGTCAAATAACTTTATCATATGCAACTCAAGTAACTCCATGAAATGACAGTTAAATAACTCTATGAATGGAACTCAAATAGCGATATCATACGGGAACAATGGCAATATCTTCTATCGAGTAATAGGGATCTTTGAAAAATGAGTAGTAGAAACTAAGTAATGTTAAATGATTGTACTATTAATTAATAATTGGTAAAATATAAAATGTAATCTTTGACTGAGAATCTGTAAAGTACAATTGGAACATTTGGACAAAGAGCTCAGATACAACTGAATACCATAACTATTTATTATTGAAATATTAAAAATATTAATTAATTTAATTCATTTTTTATTTTCTTTATTGGAGGAAAATAAATAAAGAATGTATGCGACAAAAATGATTTCACCACTTCATTTTCATATTTCAATAAATTCTAACCTTGCGTTGTTTTCGCAGCAGTGGAAAGATCACGAAATTTGGCTGCGGAAAGATTAGCAATAACTTGCAAATGTTCATCCATTGAAATCTGACAAAATTTACTGATGAAGCAAAATGACGTACACAGATCACTTCTTAATAATCATTGATAAAATGTAGTTGGCCTAGAGCAATAGTTAATTTATAGCTTGGCTATTTTCACAACATCTCAACTGAGCATGTTTATATCGATTTAGTCTAGCAAACATAACATGTTAGCTTTTATCGTCACTTTTAGTAGTTTCATTAATTCCATGCTAACAAGAATAAATTCAACACTTTAAAGTTGGGACAGCTTATGTTTCTTTTCCTTTTTTTTTAAAAAAAATACTATTATATCAAAAATTTATGGAGTAAAATAATTGAATTACAACATAACTAATCTAAAAACAATGAGACCTAATATACTGAACTTAAAATATATGATATTAAAATTAGCTTGTAAATTGAAATATTAAAATCAGTCTACAAATTGCATAAATGAATGACAACTTATGACGTATACGTAATAGGTCAAGAGTTATAACTCAATGGTGATTATACAGAACAAGTAACGAGAACGAGAATATTAAAAGTTAAAGTCTCTGTTAAGGAATGTAAGTGATAAAAATGATATCTTGCTCTCATAAACTCTACCGTTTTATATAAGCTATTTTTAGGTGCCATGCATGTAGGTCTCTATTGTATTGGAAAAAAATTTATTGTAGAAGTCAAATACATAAATGGTAAAGGTTTTAATCATGAAAACAAAAAATTTAGTTTACAACACAAAGCAAACTTATATACAATGTACAAAATTACTCACATTATAAATTGAGATCCAATTTTATTGTTACCACATAAAACTTTATATAAACCATTTAATAAGTAATTTAATTAAGTGCAACAAATTAAGCAAATTACTTCCACTTTCATATTAAAAATTCGAGAACAGTCAAATCAGGTTTCAGAAATAAGCAAGTACTAATTTCGCCAACTGTCATAACAACTAAGGAATACAGTCAAGTATAAATTCAAGACTCAAAGTTGATCAAATTACCTAAATTTGCAAAAACATACAATCTAATTAGTAATCAACTGATGAACATCATGCACCATGTCCGTAAGTTTCGTCATTTTTGCATTCACTGATTCATCAATTAAATGTTCAATTTTCTGCTCAGCCAATTCATCACTCAGTGTCAGATGGAATCTAGAAGAAAACATAAAAAGTCCAAAGACAAAAAAAAAAGATATTTAAAGCTACCATACTTCGATTTAATAATTTTTAAAAAGAAATGAGAAAAAGCATCGGAAAGGCGTACCTATGTTCAATTTTCTGCACCGCTTTTTCCTTTTCAACTGCAATATCCGGTATACCGGAATCCAACATAAGTGAAAATAAGTTTAGAACAACATTAGCATGCCGTCGCAGAATGCGAAATGCCGAGAAACAAAATCCGCGAAATTCTTTCCATTCCTTACTGCAAAAAAGTGTAAAATATATAAATAATTCAACCCTGCTTTAGAGGGATTAAATTTACATAATTTTAATTGTAACTTCGCTAATTTTTAATTGCATAAATTTAATTTCAATATTATAAAACAAAATTCAGCTAGCGTTGCACGAAAAAGCTCTACCGACATCATATAGTACTCAAAATTATCAAAAAAAAAATCGCCAACAGCAACTTATAGCGACTGAAATGATGATTCAAATTTATTAGTGAAAATAAATCCAATCAAACTAATTTTGATTTCCATTATGGCTGAGGCAACATCTCCAACATTCTTCATTTTAAATGACCCTTTCTCCTCATCACTACATACTTTCCAATAAAATAAGTTTAATGCAAACGAACCTGTGCAAACCGCCCATACCACTAATCATTTCACTAGTCAATTTCATTGGTGGTGGAGCAAAGGGTTTTGGATCTCTTCCAAGTATATAACCAAAATCAACATGGAACATTTTTCCATTTTCACAGAGCAAAAGATTGTGCAAATGTCGGTCACCTAAAAAGTGTTATAAGCAAATCAAATGAAATTCTGCAGTATCACAGTTTTTAAATTCGTATATCTTTACTCAAAAATGAATACTAAAATGATAAGAAAATGAAAACGAAATTTACCAATTCCTAACACATAGCAAATAATCGAATAGCCAGCACAAGAACGTACATAATTTTCAACAACTTCCGTTTCAATTCCAAACGGTCCATTAGGGGAAGGACGAAATGATCGAAGGCACTCCTAGAAAAAATTAAAAATGATATTGTGAACGAGTTAGCGGATAAAAAAAGTGATCTAATATTCCTAAGAATACTTCATATACAATATAACTAATACCAACAATATCGTACTGAAAAAAAAAAAAAAAAAAAAAACCTCAAGACTTAGATTCAACAACAAATAATGCACAAAATATAAATTAAACCGATAATTACCTGCACAGTACCCCAATTCGAGATCACTTCACGAAGTGGAATTGCTTTAATAAATTGAACAAATCCCTCAGAAGTAGATGTGGCAAGAACAGAATATGGTGTCAAACGTAAATCAAGACCATCTGCACGAAGTAAATCATCCATTAAACGAATCATTTGTATAATCAACTGATCTTGCCTGAAACAGCATTTCCATCAGATTTCTATCCAAAAAAAAAAAAAAAAAAAAGAAATTCTTTTTGAATATTTCATCCTTTCTAAAAACTGCTTTATCTAAGGAATGAAAATATTACTGTGATTTCTGAGCACCTATGCATTTCAGCTGCAAATCAAAAGCGAAATTAATGCAAATGAGTGGAATTTTTTTTTCAGCTTAAATCGATTTGTTTGGATTCATACTTGACGCTGCACGCAAAAATACCTTAAATCATCTCCTCGTTTGAAAATTGTCACATAATTTCCGTTATTTTCAGTTCTGAATGTAAGTTTCATTGGCATTAGATTACTGTTGAAGAGTGTAGCCGTATCGGGTAATAGCGCATTTACACGCACCGTTGGATCTAGCGGTAATGGAAGACCACAAAGATTAAGCAAATCATGTTGCTCGCGTAATGAACGCCGCAAAGCTTTTTCTTTTTGACTTCGCCCGCCACTTTCTTGTGATACAAGCTTAGCCATTGACACTAGGATTTCAATCAAAATCTGAAAACCTTCCTTTAGTTGGAAAAGCCAAAATTAAAGAGGCATTTTATACTTTTTTCAAGACTCGAACTTCGAAATTAACAAATAAATATTACAAATAGGACTGAAAGGTAAAAGAGCAAGAAAATTATGTGGATTTATTTTTTCTAAGAAAAATACGAATTCAGCCATGAACAAATTAATATAACATAGATTTAATAAACGGTATTAAAAGTTTTTTTTTTTTTTTTTTTGAATAAAATATAAACAAATCAGTGGAAAAATATGCTAGGAATTTGAAAAAGGCTGAGAACTTTATAATATCATCCGAATCTACTGAAAATAACTGCTTTTTGAAAAAACAAAGATTGAATATCCTTCACGTAACTATTAAAATTATCAACTGAAAACCTTACCTCTTGCTGATCAAGCGAAGCAGCTCGCCTTCTCAGATCACTGCCACCACTTCGTAATGATGATAATAATAGTGACAAAACGTAGCTATACATGCGTGACATAACCGTACTGACTTGCGCTGTTGCTTCTATCTATAAATATTGTACAATGAATACTCTGTCATATTAAGGTAAAAACAAACAAGACAATTAAAATAATAAGTTATCATGCACATGAAAAAAGGCAAAATTTTAGAAATAAACTTTATAATTACCTCAACTTTGAGGTACCAATAGAGGTAATAAGTGATCGACGGATTACTGCAAGCAGAACGTATCAAGAATGAAGTAAGATCATCGCCTGTTAAGCATTTTTGCATAGCCTGTTCAACTGTTTGCTGGCTATATGTTTCCTGACCATTTTCCATTATCAATTCACTATTTCCTCCTTTGGCACCATCAATTTTCCTTCGGATTTCTTTTTGTTCCTGTATTAACTTGCAGTATCTATTGTAACGAATTTTTTTAATAAAACAGAATGATATATGATTACATTATTTCTCGAATTTTTGCCGATATTTCAAATTTTTGCGGCAATACCTTGATTATCAAAGCTATAGTGAAGTAACTCAAACACTTCAGCTCACGTCTACATAACCCAAGCAAATATCATCAAATATTTTTTCTTTCTTTCCACTTTCTTACCTGTGCAGGGATCTTAATAATCAGAGGATTATCTCAAAAAATCGAAAATCTTATAATAACTTTATTTATCAAACAATAAACCAAAAAATGTAAGAATTGTTATTTTATCTGATTTCTAGAATTGCCTCAAGTCTTCAAATATAAAACCAAATACACTTCTACATTTTCTAATTTTTTTGTAGACATATATGGATATCAAAGAAATATTGGTAAGAGCATATTATTTCAACTTATGCTAAGTTCAACGCTTGTTAGTTACATTACCATTCACCATTACAACCGGAATGGAAAATTAAAAAATATAAAAAATTGATAAAAACACCTCGAATTCGTCCAAAACTTTCATTACGAATTGCTCATATTTAAGTGCCTGCACGAGTTGCGGCAAATATAATAGAATTTGCTCGGGCTTAGCATGTGATAAACGCGATACTGCATAGCGACGCAATTCGATGTGTCGAAATGTTGGCGAAAGAAGTTCCAAGGCGTCACTGGCCTCCAGCGGCGACCATTCACTGGAAAATTTGATCCGATAAACAAGAAGATTTAATATTTCAGTCCGAATTCTTAAATAAATAAAAGAAAAAACAGACTTGCAAACTTTCAATTTCAGTAGTTTCTCAAGTTTTTTTTTCTTTTTTTTTTTTTTTTTTTTGGGGGGGGGGAGGAGGGAAGGGAGTGGATAGTGATTAGACAGAGAAAAGATAACAAGCTATTATCTAAATACAAATTATACATAAATAACTTTAAAATATAGTAGCAGAACAATAATTACTTTACAAGGATGAGAGCATAAGCTGCTTCTTCATTTTTATTCCAAGCCACTGAGCGAACAAATTTTAATAATGCTTTACGATTACTCCGAAGAAAATATCGAAATTTCCATATTAAATCACGCTCTTCAAAGTTTATAGCATGTGCTGGTGGCAACTGAAATAGATATAATGATTAACATCAGAAAACAAAAAGATTGCAAAACATGCCAAAACAAAAAAAAAAAAAAATATCAAAAATATGAAAGCAAAAATTGAAAAAAAAAATTTGTAAAAATAACACCGTTTTGAAAGAGAGAAACACTTTTAGCAATAACTGCTGTATTTGTTAAATACATATGAAAACTACGAAAAAAGTGGCCTGTCATAAACGTAATCAACATGTAAAGTCTATCAGTGAACTTGACAATATTGCATTATAGCAGTTTCCTGTTATAATTACCGGTTACCATTAAAATAAGAAATGTTAAAGTTCTTGAAAAATTAGCGAAGGCGATAAATTTCTGGATTTAATTTTACTAGTAAAAAATAAGAATCATACACCTGGATTATCCTTTCCAAATAATGACGTGCAGAAGCATTTGGTTTAAGTTCACGTTCAAGTGCACCAGCACGTGAAGAACGCGTCATCATGTGATGCTTGAGCTCACAAACATTTTCCAAATCCATCTCTGGATCGACTAATGGATAAACACTCCGTGTTTTTAACTCTTCTTCATCTTCATAATAAACTACAGAAACTATAGAGTCCCCGAAAACAACTCGCGCCATTTCAACAATCAAATATAAGCAACGCTGTTCGACTTCACGCTGAAATGTAATTCATTTGTTCGTTAAAGAAAATATCTTTAAACATAAAATTATGTTTGTTTTTCTATTTTCAGATTTGTCTGTCTTGTTCGCATATTCTGTGCTACGATTAATCTCCATCTGCCAAACATTTAAGTAATAGCGCTTTGTTTCTCCATAACGTGCTTTAGTTTTTCAATTAGTTAAGTACTGATTTCTATTCAGTAGTCATTACAAAGTTATGAATTCACGTTTCTTCTCATTTCAAAGAATCTCACACTTTATCACAATGACTAGTACAATGAGAAATATCGGAAGCAACTAACTTCTTTCTTGATTTGTTCAATACGTGGAAATGTAAGCCGATCAAGCCAATCAACATGTTCGATCAGTCTCTCACCATATTCTTTTGTTCGCTTTTGTAAGCGATCGACACCTGTTTGTTTTGTGAACTGTAACAATACAAATAACTTATCTATAGTATATAATTTTCCTTAATACACTCTATCAGCTGGAAACGCAACTCACAATGATAATACTAAAAAAAAGAATAGATTATTAGTCTCAACACTAGTAAATATGACATATTCAAAAAGTTGGGAAAAAAAAACTACAAAACTGTATCATTCCGTCCAACATTTCGGACCTTGGATGGTAAAGGTGGCCTCAAATAATCATCAGGTTTTGTAGCCACTTCCATTTTTAGCGCAATAGTACCAGTTCGAAGAACTCCGCGTTTGCTAAACAACGAAACGGATGAATGTGCTATAAATCGTGCGTCTAAGCTATCTGATACATCCCACAAGCATGCATGGATAAATGAATCAAGGCTCAGCTCACTGAAAATAAGAAACACAATTAAGAAAAGCTATATGCATTTCTGAGTACTTTTAATTAATACTCTAGGGAGGCTAAAAAAGTCAATGCTCAAGCATTTCGGTACGGAAAACATATTCTAAACGAAGAAATTAAATCTTGTTAACAATTGTAATTCTTCGCAAGCCTAAGGATCAAATCACAAATTTCTTTTTTTCGAATTTTGAAACATTCAAAAAAATTTTAAACTATAGATCCTTTAAATTCTTGTTAGCAGTAGCCAAACTAATTTACTACATGAAGTGCAAGTTTTTAATAAAATCATGCAACGAGTAAACCTTATTTTGATAGGTAACAAAATCCATTCATCCCAGGAATGAAGCGTTGTACGAACATGACTTGGTGGAGATTTGTATGATGTCGAAACGGGTACACCCACTCGTCGTTTATTGCAATAAACCTATAAAAAAATGCCAATGGATAGAACGAATTTTGAAATTCAATAACGGTTCTCATTACTGAACTACTGGTGAAGACTACCTAAACCTAGATTAAAGTTAAAGTACTGAAGTCATCACGAAGTTCTGAGATACTTTAATATACAAATTTTGGTATTCTCAAACGTTTAAAAAGTTAGAAAATATATATTAAAAAAGCTAACCGAAGCGGTGATGAAGAAATTACCACCCACAACACGATAGGATTTATCTAAAAGTGATGTACTCCCTTCTAAAGAACCAATTCGTAACTGTACATTCCCCTCGAGGTCACAGCTATGAACATACAAAAATTCATTGTCCATCCTTGTTTATCAACCTATATTCCTCTCGGTAACTGTTAGTTGATTAAATGGCCATTATCAAATAGCGATGATCTATTCCACAAGGACCTGAAATTACTCTGTAATGCCTTATTCAAAAAATTTTCTTGAAATCCAGCTTATATTCTAAAAAGTTAAATTGTTTCCGTCCTTTACTAATTTAAGCAAAATTAAAAATAAAGCTTAAATCTATTAAACACTTATTGCAATACGTCCTCCACATTCCATCATTATTCAAAATTATTAAATTCTTTCGGAATATTTCACAGCGTTTATGTGCTGGTGCATCTTCCCATTACACTTTCACTGTTCTTATACATAATTTATTGATTTTTTTTTTTTCGAACAAATAGATAAGCAAATTCAGGAGCATGTGCAAATCCCGTATCTCAAACAATAAAAACTACTTTTATTGAGAACTTGATATCGTGATAAGTTGAATGATACTTTGAAGGGAGGACTCACAGAAACAATATTAAAGTAGCAGGGTAATAATATCGTAATGAAATCAACAGTTACCAGAGTAAGATAGAAAATCCCTGAGCAGGCAAAAATATGCTTATTCTTATTTTTTCGTAATTCCTATGCATCGTCCTAAACATTAGAAAGTATTCTGTACAAATAATATACAAAAAAAAAAAAAAAACAATAATACAAGGACAGTCTTGCATATTCATAAAATTAAAATGATAAAAGAAAGGGAAGACATGTGAAAAAACGATTTTTGATCTTAGAAAATTTAAATATAATTTAATAAATCACAAAATCACCAACCAATCATGATTGAAAAAAATATAAAACAAACTGGGTTAATATCTTAAAACAGCAATATAAGCTTCTTAAGGTACCGCATTTGCATTTATGGAACACATATAGCATAATGATGCAGAAATTCCGATTAATTAGAAATATCGTTTATTTTAAAACCTAGCAGTCCATGGAACTGTGCAGACAAAACCTGATTTTCATCTTAGAAAAAGCTAAATATTGAATTTACATCCAAGATTATAAATTAGAGATCGAGGTTTGAAGTTGAACAATATCAAAAATTATAAAAGAAAACAAGAAGTGGAGTTGCTACATGGATTTTAAATCATTTTGGCGACTTCTTCTTGCTGCCACTTCTTTTTGACGGAACATCTCTACCTGATAGAGGCCTTGGACTATTGTTTGGACTCTCTTCGTGTATTGGTTGCTGAATAGCACTGCGACTTAATGATGCTGGTGAGGTAACCGAAGAACTAGAAAATAAGCGCTCCGATTCACGCATACCTTTCCTTGCACCTTTTTTATCTAATTTTAAGCTATTTTTTGATGGTGGTGCAACCAGTGTTAATCGATCCCAACCTATAAAACACCATAACATATTTAAACTTCTCTAAATATCTGAAAGCCATTGAAATAAGTAGAACAGAAATTCAAATCGAAAATGTTGGAGTAATCGGTATAATTCATGACTGCAGAAATATTACTGATAAAAAGTTCAACACATAAGGCCAAAAATCAGTATATAAAGATTAGACATCTAAATGTACTGCAATAATCCAAACAAACAACTTCATGATCACTCAAACTAACAAGGTGTATGACACAGACAATAGCCTAGAAGATTCTGTCTTGATGTCTAACCTTTTACGACATTTCCATAGTCGGCCGTTTCTTCCAGGTATGAACCTTCAAAATTGTAAATTTGTTGTTCAAGAGCACTAAGTGTTTCCTTTAAAAACATGTTATAAGTGAGGAAGCTTCATTGTAGAAAATTCAATCAGAAAATAAAGCTGAAGAACTGTTTCAAACGTCCTATAAAGTCATAAAGCCTATAAAAACAAGTTATCATATCACACTTTATATAGAAGATGTCAAGTAAAAGCTCAGGACAGCTTAAAACAAATTAAATTAATGGAATATATGTAGAAGGCATAAGATGAATTATAGGGAAAGTAATTTTAATTTAAACTTACTGCAAGTTCGGTACGACGTTTCACAAGATCAGCTAGTTCTCGCCTTGTTTCGTTCAAATCTTTAGCCATTTAATCGTTTAGTCTCTGCTAAAAGCACACATAAACAGTGTTCCGGATTTGCAGTGCCACAAAATCCGGAATGTTACAAAACAAGGAGCAGCTGCTAAGTGTGTCACCACTTGCCCAGCAAAAATCAAGAAAATATTGACAATATTACAAAATAAAAAGTTAACGATCAAAAATACTGTAATAAAAGAGGAGAAAGCAGGAAGTGATAGAATTTCCACAATAATATACATAGAGAGTTGAAAAGACTCATGAATTGTTGTGAGAACGTAGAAAGTTTGCTATGTGCTAGAGATACAAATGCAAAGTATAGTGTTGAGGAAGAGATTAAAAGAGAAGCAAAATAGTGCACATCCTATAGGAAGGATTGCTTAGCTGGACGACGATACAAAGCTTTGCGACTACTGACAGTTTGAGGATAGCAGAAAACTTAGTAAAGTTTCTTGGTTATGCCGGATTTGTCGGAGTGGTTTGGTTGGACTTCCGTTTTTTTTTTTTTTTTTCGTAGTAAACAAGAAGTCGTTTGTTAGGGAATAGCAAGAGGCATGTGAGATGGATTCGATATGTTTTTTGTTTTTTTCGGATTTATTTGGAGGATTTGAATGGTTTGGATTCGCTTTTTTTGTTATCGTAAAATTTAAATCGGAATCAGTTCTGATGCTTTTTATGCATTCATTCTATATGTAAAAGTAAGAACACAAGTATACTTACGTTGAAATGTTCACGCTCACGTATATCGACAATTCATATATATATATATGTATGTATACATGTCATGACTGACACATTTACATATGCAATACATAAACAGATGTGTATGCGCTCGAAAGATTCAAAGCGGTCTTTTTTTTTTCTCATTTGATATGAAGGTTAAAGAAGGTCACGTACGTGTGCTGGTTGACTGGATGGTAATGGAGTTCCTTGTATGAGGATGAATGAGAAAAGTAAGGGTGGTATAATGACAAGAACGATAGTGGAATATCCGAAACCTTTATCAAACATGTCATATTTGCGGAATGGATTGATAGAGGATGATAGCGATGATGAATTATTCGATTGTTGCAGCTGTCTTAGGACAAGGTTGGGTGTAGTTAAATTTTATTTTAATCTTAGTTTATTTTAAAAAAAAATTTTTTTTTTCAGATTGAAACTTTGCTAGATTTAGATATTTTTTTGGGAAAATTGTTGAGTTTAATTTATGAAAAAAACTACTTCATTGATTTTTCTTGCTGTCAGGAGAGTTATTCGTGTTGTTTTCTAGATTCATTATCTTTTTCTTCTTTCACCAAATCTTATTTCTATTAGTAATTCAAAAAGTCATCTCCATGCTCCAGTTTTTATCGATAAAGCTGTAATATATCTGTTTTCGACGATACTTTTACTTTTCTCAACATCACTAACTTCTCTGTGTAAAATAAATATTCTTTTAGTAATCGTAGTGATACCACGAAGAATTCATTTTATTGTGATCTTTGATATTTCTGAATTACGATAGTCATCAACATCGCTGAACAGTCTATTTTACTAAAGCTCTATTACCGATTAAGAGTTAATTGTTAAGTGTACAGAATTACTGTAGTTTCGTATTCCAAAGTTAGCTTGTTTGATTCAGGTCTTCTTTCATATTCATTTAAGCAAATGCTCATCGATTTCGATTTTTTAAAATGATTTTGGACTACTGATTGAATTTTTTGGACTGTTGGAGATCTTAGCTGTCTTTTAACTATGTATTCATTCTATTCTCTAACCTAAATTGCATATACTATTAGTTGTCAGATTTTTTCTGTTTAATCCATCGGATGGTAAGATTTTCAATATATGAAAGAAATATGAAGCTGTGATATCAACGGCATCATTTTTTCTTTTCTTTTTTTGCATATGCAGTTATTTTTCTGGCAAAATTTCTAACTTCTTTATTGTATTATTTTGTTTAATTTCATCTTTTATTTTTTTCTCTTAATTTTGCTAAAGTAGAAAATGGTTAGGTTTGCATGATTCCTTTTTGTTCGGTTTCTCTCATATTTTGCAGTTTATCTGTATTTCAGTTCTGGTAATCTTGGACCCTATACTGTTCGATTATTTTTCTGTTCTAAACCAGGTCGCATTATGGTTTTTCTCTTTTCATTATTAGCATTATATTTGATATATTCAAGTAAGCTATTTATTTTTTTTTAACATGATTGATTTTGAGGAATATTTTTGTTTGTATCAAATCTTTTTTAAAATTCAAGTAATTCGGTTTCAATACCTGACTTTTTAATTGCTTTTTCTTTTCTTTTTTTTCTTTTTTTTTTTGCTTTTTGCTTTTTATTCCATTTTAGACTATGTAAACTTATAGTTTGAAATATCAATTTTTGTTTATAGCTGGCAATTTTTCAAATATTACAGACTGGAACAGCAGTGCAGTCATGCATTCAGATGTGGCATCAATAGTAACTCCGAGTAATCATTCACGGTTAGTGAAATCATTAACTTTTGTGTCTAACTTTTTCATTGCATCTGTAAAATGTAAAATAAATTTATGATCACTTTAAAGTAGAACTACCGTCAGCAGTGATTCCTTTCTAAGCTATCAGCAACATATGCAGATGTTTTCAACCGTTAAGTAGTAGTGATTTCAATACGATTGAATGCTATGGGACATTGGAGAATTTTGTTGATTTTAGGGCGCATAAAATTTTACTAGATTTATGTAAAGCTTATGCGGAACAAAAAGTGAGTGGTGATTTGTGTAACCGCTTATGTTATCATAAGAAGTGGAGTATTTTGGATATTTATGAGGGAAACAAAATTGTTATCACGATCAAGGATGGTGGGCAAGAGGTTATACTCAAAAGTCAACATTTATATATTGATGAATTTGAACATTTGGATCCACGAATTAACGAGAGCTTGTTTTTCGATGCTGTAAATTTTTGAATTTTTCCTTTTTTTTTTAAGTTGACTTCAAAGTTTTGGACAACTTGAACTTTTTTATTGTTCTGTCTCATAAAAGAAAGTTTCTTATAATAATCTTCTAAAAGATCCAAAAAACGACAATTGGAGAAGAATGAATCGATATTTTAATAACCGATGACGTTATTATATGATTTTTTTTTTACAATATTATGAGGAATAATGAGTGAACCGAACATTTTCAAAAAGAAAAAAAGACAGATGCGATTTGCAAATAATAGTAATAATAATATAGAAGACATATGCTGAAATTATTTTAAAATATTTTCATTTAAATTATATGCATGTCTTTTTTTCTGTTTTTATTGTGCATTTATTTTGTACCACTCTTTACTTGTAGGTCCTTGGTGTAGTTAATTATAATCTAAGGTTGGGTTGGCCTTCACACTACAAACATCATCTGATTGAAATTCTCTGGCCAATGTATGTTCGTAAGGGACGTGATTCGTTGTCTGAAGCCGATCGTCGAAGTTTGTGGGCACTTCTTTCCCAGGATGAATATATTACTTTTCGAGTTTTACCTCTTACGCGTGTTACACCGAAGGTAAAATAAATTCATTTCATATATTCTTTAATTTTTTTTGTCAGAGGAGTTTATTTTCAGAAGAGTAATGGAAGTAGGAGAAATATTTAAAATTTATTTTTCAAGAACTCAATTAGTTAAACACGGAAAGAAACCATAAATTCTTGTGCTGGTTTATTGAACACTCATATTTTAGATTATTGGTACATGTGGACATTTTTACCAGGTGGAAACATTGGTTCCATTCCATATGAAAGGTTATTATATGAATTTAAAAGCTAAAATATTGCTTCATTTGATGGGAACATTGAAATTGTTCGATGAATTTTTGAACGAACCATTAGAGTGGTGTGATATAAAATTTGATAATCTTGGACTTGCTGCTGATTATCCGAAAAGGTCAGTCCAGTTCCTGAAATTTTTCAATTTCCGTCAATTTTATATGGAATTTCATGCCTCTCGTATCATTTACAACATTACATTTTTCTCAAAAAAAAAAAAAAAAAAAAAAAAAAAATCTCTCTTTATTTTTTGAGTATTTCTGAATCCTTTGTTCTTTGAAGGGGGTTTGATTTAGTTAAGAACGATAAACAGGGGGATTTTATTCGTACTCATTTCAAACATAGGTGAAAAGTAGGTTTTGAAAGTCGGAATCGAGTATGTCACTTCTATTTCGTATATAAAGAAATTCACAGATTCATGGTAATGGACGCGGATATGTTGTATACTAAATCGCGTTTGAAAGCCATATTGACTAGTCGAATATGCAAACAAGATGAGGATTGTCATTATTTCGATTGCTATGCTAAATGCAATAATGAGACGGGATTCTGTACTGATCGAACAAATAGTAATTTAGAAGTATGTTTTTATACGCTTATCCTGCTCCATGTATTCGTTTTTCCTGTGTTTATTCTTTTTTTTTTTTTCTTTTGAATCAAAAAAAAAAAACTGGACAAATGAAGCCATATATTGCTGTGACGAGGCAAAGGTATATTTTCAAATTTAACTTCATTTGGTGAAATTATATACTTAGCCTTTATCATTTCAAGTATTAAAAAGATCAGTGCGAGAAGTTGCAAAAGCATATTGATTTCCAACAAATTTGATAAAAATAATCCTTTTATGACGGTAAATCTATGATCAAGTTGTTGACTACTTTTTTTAATTAGCTGCGAGATTGCAACTAATTTATCTTTTTTAATCGGTCATTTAAACAGAATTTGATAAACCCATAATTTTTTTAGTAGTGTTGTCACCATGGAAAATGATTACAGTTGTCACTAAATTTCCTTTTAATTTCTTTCTAACTGATTTATGAGAATTTATGATTGAAGCTTCAATTTGTTTAAATGCTGGTAATTGACCCCTTCGAATCTTTATTCAGAATATGATAGCGTATTTTTAATGTAAGAAAGGAAAAAAAAGGAAGCAAATTTTTGTAAGAATAATTGAATTGTTGCTATGACATTTATGTTGTAATCTTTCCCGAATAAAAGGACAAATCATTATGGGCTTTAAAAGAATCTGGTTTTACTAGAAGAAAATGATAATTTGGAATGAGAAGGTGGGAAATAAGACTGTAGGACAAGATAAAGCTGTTCATTATTTTTATTGTTTTTATTCCTAGGACAATTTCCATCCACACATTAATATTTTTCATTTGAAAAAAAAAAAGGTCTTCAGTTATCAATTAATAAAATTCAGATAAATGTGAATTTTTCTGGTGTGAATTATTTTATGTTTGCTTTTTTCATATTTTAGTATATTGTTGTTCACGTTAGAACACATCCATTTCTCCTGTCACAGTAACAAGTTCAAGAAACTTGCCGTTAGTGGAAAATGAGTCAAGTAACAGGTTAATATAATTGAAACAAACTAAGAGATTTTTACAGGTATTTTGCGATAAGCTCATTTACCAATTGTATGGTAAATTTTGGACAAAATCGAATCGGTACCTGGCTGCATGTCGTGACACTTCAGTGACATTTGAGCAACGAATTGCTGATTTACGATTGTTATGGTCATGGAACTTTTCCGATGTGTAATTTTTTCTTAATTAGGTGCCTTTGATTAAATTTTAAATTGTTAACATATTTTGCTTGTGTCTGCGAACTGTCCATTAAATCTGACTTTCATGTTCTGAGTTAAATGGTTTTTATTTTCTTTTCATTATTTGTATGATTTTATTTGTTTCTGCTCTTTATTTCCCAATCCTTTATTTGATTTTCGCTGCTCCACTATGTTGGTATTACTTGATTATTTTTGACATATTGATATTATGATATTGTTTCATTATTTTTGACATATTGATATTATATCTTGTTGTTTCGGTTTAGCATTTTTATAACTTCAGTGATTAAAGGAGGTAAGGTTGAAAGGTCATGTGGTAGTTCCTTGTATGGGTTCCATTTTTTAGAATGTTTTTTTCTGCACATAGAATTGTATACTTCGCATATCATTTTATATCTGATCTCCAAGTAATTAGTCTTTCAGGACTGTCAGATACAGAAATGTCAGGAAAAAAACAGAATGGTTTTGGATTTTGTTTGAAAAACTATGTGCGATTAGCAATCTAACTGATTCATTGCTTATTGAGTTAAAAAAGCGAATTCTTTCTGATTTTCCTCCTATGTTGTTGTTTCAGATATTCCTGTATTTTTTTTTTTGATGTGATTGTACTGCCTTACATGTGATATTTTTATGAGGGAATAATTTCGAAATTACTCAATAAGTTACCATTGTTTGATGATTTACAGTATTTCAGTATTGTTTCCTAGAAATAGCAGTTTTCTGTGTTTGTCTTTTTTTTGCGCATCCGCCGATATTTACTAACATTTCCATTGTTGAAAAGAGATTCTTTACTAGGATTGTCAAATTCTTCAATATCATTCATCTTATCAAAATTTTTATCTGTCAATGATAAATTGATTACGTAAAAGTAAACGAGTGTAATGCATTTAAAATTAAAGATATCAATCATTTAAATATTTTGGTAATATATTTCCATAAATTTCCAACAGTTTATGCAAAAAAATAGCGAAGAATGGAAACCTGTTCTGCTTAGCTTTAATCATTTTTTTAAGGTTTAATTTCTAAAAACAAACTTAAAAAATTTAGGAAGTCTGGTCACCTTTTTTTCAATTATTTCCAATGAAATAAGTTCTATATTTATACATTTTCTCAAGAAAAAAAAAAAACAAATGATCAACAATGAGAGAAATTATTTCATTCCCTTCAATGTAAACAACAAGTAAAAGCAAAAAGTTGCAATGGTTGCAGATTTATAAAATTTTAAATTTCGATAGCATTTTTTTGCGGGACGAGAATGTCTCTCTTTTTCTTTCGATTAATAATTTATTTTATTGCAAACAGATATAAAATGTCAAAGGAAATATGAAGGAAATAATTTGATTGGAAATATTTTTTCAATTTCAATTCAAATGAAAACAAATTAAGTCACAATAATTTCACGTACGCTTATTGACTCATTCTCCTAATTTGTTGGTCGTCCTCTAGTTTCATTGCCTTTTCTAACATTAAAGCAGCTTCTGCTATTCTAAGATGTAAGATGGCATTCTCTTGTTTGAGTTTGTCAGATTCATCCTCAAACTAGAAATAAATTTTTTTACTTTCTAAAAGTAATGGTTGAATTTTAGTTTAACTTTATTTCCGACTAAATTTAATAAACTTAGTAAAAGTTTGATTGAATACATTTGCAAAGAATACCAAATGAGCAGAGAGAGTAAAAGTTTGATTGAATACATTTGCAAAGAATACCAAATGAGCAGAGAGATGAATACAAGAAAAGATAGAATTAGCATATTATTGGGGTAAAATAGGACTAAAATAAAATAAATATTAATGTGAACCATAAAATATGTTTATGTAACTTTTCCGGAAAGATAATTCAGGAAATCTGCGGCTAGAATCTAATCAGAATGAGAATTTCATGAAAATATTTATTAATTATATGTGTATAAAATAAGTTTAATATCAAAACTGATGGAGGTGCTGTGAGCAGAACTGATAGTTTAAAATCACAAATAACTGGAATTGAGATTACTTCAAGCTTTTTTTAATTCATATGACTTTTCTAAGAAAAAGTGTACAAAAAGGAATTTATATAAAATTATGATTTCATTTATAAAACCAGAAAAAAAAAAGTAGAGTAAAATTTTGAAATATGAAATACAAACTTAAAAGAAAATGATAAATGCTGTGAAAGCAAATATTAATATTTACGGGAAGTCTTTAATTAGATAATCTTTCATTACTTTTTCATCATGAAACAAAGTAATACTTTAATTATTCCATAATTTTATCAACTTCACATACTTTTTTCTTAAGCTTTCCGTAAATGCTATTACTTATTCCAATTAATAAAACAAAAATTAGTAAAGAGAAAATATTTCTGAGAAACTATAATTTTCGAAAAAAAAAAAGGCACATTTAAGAGAAATGCTATAAATGCTGATAAATGATTATATTCCATTTCATTTTATAGCTAATGGATTGGTATGAATTTCAAACTAATAAACCTGAATTACCTGCTCATTTGAATCGTTCTGGTAAAATGGAAAGTTTTTTTCATCTAATATCACTAACAAATCCTTATACACAGTTTCCAATTTCCTTTTTTTATTACATATCTGACATACTTTGTTCACCTGAAAGATGGCATAAATTCATTATGCAATAGTTACACCTGTCAATTAATATTTATTAACTTTTAACGAATTTCGATAAACTTTTACTGTACAATTGCAAGAGATTTGAAGAAAAAAAAAACGATGATAAGAGTTTAATTAAAAAGTATATTTGGATGCATTAAATTAATAATAATTACTCATAATAGATAGAAAATCATTACTTTATCTTATAGAAGTAAAAATTATGATAGGTACGAAATATTAAGGTTAAAAGAATTCATTGTTTCACTTTCATGTAAATATGGCGTGAATTTCCTTTTTTCTCTTAGCACAAAAATTATTGATAAAATTAAAATGATGGATAATTATTTTTTTTAGAAAAAATATCACTGATAACTTACTTCTTTCCATTTTTTTAAGCAATAAACATGAATTGAATGACTACGTTCTAATACATAAACACCATTCAAATAAATATAATCCAAACAGCCAGGACATAATGACGATTTTTTCCATTTGGCAGAGTTTAATTCGAATTCATAAAATTTTTGAAGAAGAAAGCACTGAAAAAGTTAGTAGCACAGGTATTCATTCATAGGTATGAAAATAGTACGATTTAAAATATGTATACATATATACTGTTTATTTAATGATATTATGCTAATTGCATTTTATTGAATTGTATCAAATAAATAAATTAAAATTGAATGCAAGATGGATGATTCTGATGCAGTGCACATCACAATTATGACAAATAAAGGAATGATTATCACACAGTGATTTGTAATCATTGATAATGATATCAAATGCTGTGTGATATGATAGCAACAAATCTAAGACATCGAGCTTTAGTCTATACTCAAAATAATTTATTATTATAAATAAATATAAAAAATTTTTTTAGTAAAAAATAAATGTTGCAAATGATTTTTTTCGTATTAATAGAATCAAATAAATTATCCATTAAATAGATTAGTTATTCATTTTGAGAGAAATTGAATTTGCATAAGAAAGGCACTAATTGTCTGATGCTTACAAAAGTCAACAATATTTCTATTGTTTTAATCAAAATTATATTTAAATATAAATGAAAAAAGTCAGCAGTAACACATTCATTCAATCAATCAATCAATCAATCAATCAATCAATCAATCAATCAGTCACGACATACCAGTTTAATTCCTTCGGAAAAATATTCAGCATGCATTTCTTTCTGATTTAAAGTTTTTTTCATGCGCCTTTCGAGCTAAAACAAAAAAGTTGTAAGTAACATATTAGAAATAATCTATGAAATCAATTCCTTTAATAGTGAAAAAAAAAATAGAATTTAGAATTGGCGTCAAAATTTGTAGAAAATAATTACCCAAAAATATTATGCATAATAAATTTGAGAGAATTCTCGGGAATATTTCACATGATTACTGCTTTTTATAGTAAATTAACCTAATGCATCAATTACAACCATTTAATAACTTTTTTTCGAATTTATAAATTCAATCGGAGTATGTTCTATTCGAAATGTAACACTGAGGATGAAGCATAAAATAAGAATTCATTTGAATGATACAAATTAACAGTTTGTTATCTTATCTTTGTACTTATTATTTCTAACCAGCAAGTAAGATTATATATTTTTTTTTAATTTATTTTCCTTTTACTAATTTTTTTTTCCTTTTTCTTTTTAAATTAAAATACAATTAAATGAAACTAACAATATTATGTAGCGCAATTGGATATCGATTATTTGTAGATAACTGATTCGTTCCTTCACGAATAAATGATGGCTTAGTTGCACCATTCCTCATAAACCTTCCGCGACAAATTGGACAACGAGTCACATAGCGCTAAAGTTTAAAAAGCTTTTTTTTTCCCTCTCTCTCTCCCTCTCTCTCTCTCTCTCTCATTTTTTTCATCAACATAAAAATTATGTTTCATTTTTTTTCCTTGTAAATAAATTTAAATAATATGTTAGCATAATTTAGTTTAACTTGATTTCTTTTTCAAATGACCAGTGGATATCAATTTTAATTCAAATGATCTGGTAGATATCATGAACAAAAAAAAAAAAAAAAAAAGGTTGAATCACTCAGATTATAATAAATCTACAGATATCATATCTGACTCAAATAATCCGACAAATATTTTATCTCTAATTCAGGTACCAAAACTTGATGATATCATTTTTCAAGCCAAATGATCCGACAATTATTATTTCTGATTCAAATGATTTTAATATATTTGATTTATCATAAAGAAATCATTAATAAATGTTGCATAATTTTCTTTTCATAAAAATACTTTTATTTTTTTCCATGTCATAATGCACCGAGAATGAAATGTATGACCACATTGTAGCACTGAAAGATTAAACGAGAAAATAGGCATTGTGCATATGACACATTGAACTATGGAAGGCATTCTTTATCTGAAATAATTGAAATTGGTGAAATTGAATAAATGAAACGTTTGAGGAAATATTAGTTAAATAAGTTTAAATGAAAAAAAAATTTAATTTGTAGGGTAAGATAAAAAGGAGAAAAAAACTTCACTTTCATTAAATAATTTCTAAAGTCAATTTTAAAAATGCTCAATTGTAAATTTAACACTGAAAATTGATTACCATCGTACATTATGTATCAATTATCATTTATAATTGTAATTTTGATCATGAACCGCTCTATAATATAGATTGATATGCTAACAGATCAAATATGACGAGAAAAAAAACAAAGAATTATTAAAGATTTGTTGATCAAAGATCATATACTATATATGATGTATACAAAGAATATAAGTATCATTTGTAAATATAGGAGTTTTAGTAGGAAGAAGAGAATTTTTAAAATTTCAAAAATCATTTATAGCAGATATATCTCACTTATTTGTAGTGAAGAATACTTATTAATTTATTAAACATATTAAAATCATTATATTTTTATTTTTAATATATATTATATTTTAATAATATCGCCTTCAAAATGAAAGTAAACGTTTTCAATATTTCTGCAAAAATTTGTAAATGCAAATGAAATACTCAATAAATTAGATTAAATCTTTATCATTTTCCTTCTTTTACTCCATGTCACAACATTTTCCAACCATCTTTTAAAAATGATTGGAAGGAATGATTAATATCAAATCCATGATGAAATACAATGAAAATTAAATTGATCTATTCAAAATAAGTTTGCATAATTTGAAAAAGTACAAATGCCGATCTAAAATTTGAATTAGGATTTAAATTACTAATTTCTTTGTTAAAATTATTTTTCTGGCCAGTATTACTAAATAAGAAAACATAAGTTAAGTAATCAATAATAATTTATAATCAAGTTACTATCAATATCGTTAATTTTACTTTCACCATAAATATCATAAATATTTCATATTTCTTTGTTTAGCTGAAATAAATTCAAATATAAATAAGAACTAAATTTTCTGTTTCAAATGTAAGGTGACCACAAACAAATAAATATATGTTATCTTTAATCAGCAGTTGATTGAGCCTGAAATCTGACATCAATTTTTGAAAATTTGAATGTAGTAAATCTCTTTTCAATCTTTATAAATAACCAAAAATTTTTATTATTTATGATAATTTCACTTATTATTGTCACTCTGTCTATCATACAACAACAAAAACAACAATTATTATTATTATTATTATTATTACTATTGTTAGTATTATCATTACTACTATTATTATTGTTATTATTATTTTACTATTACTGATCATAATCATAATATTATAACTATGTTTATTGCTATCACATTATCATTAAGTTTTTTTCTAATATCATTTTTTAATTCCTTGGCAATAAGAACCTTTCATTTACTCCGTTAATTACAATAAGTTTAATTGATGAATCATTGTTTACTATCAAATTAACTATCATCTTGAAATGACAATGTTACTTTTATACTGATCAATTTCAATACTTTAAATTGATATGGTTACTGTAAAACTACAGTAGACTACAGTAACCTGATTATGAATATCCAATTATAAAAGATTTATCAAGGAAAATGATTTTAATAAATTGATACTAAGTTCTTGTTTATATTAATCTTCACTTCACTATTTCAAGCTGCTTAGTGCAGGCATAAAACAATAACAAATAGTAATGACAATAAGCAGCTAATTTTTCCTTTTTTTTTAATCGATTGAAGTAAAAATGCAAAACATAAAAAATAAAAATATCAAACAAAAATAAAAGAATGAGAAATGAATGGAAAAAACAAAACAGAAAAAAAAAAAAAAAACAATGAAAAATAAACTAAATGTAATACTAATATTTTTGCTTTGATACGAACATATTCGTAATTTACTCTTATATTTCATATAATAATTCTTAATTTGGATTTCATTGCTTAATAAACACTGAAAATATACTCTCAACTTTTCTGAACTATTTGTGATATATTTTAATTTAGCATTTATTGGATTATTTCTAACTATGTGGCAGATTGCAGTTTCAAATTATCATTTTTATCTGAAAATTTATGCAGATTAGCAGCATCCAAAGTTTAACTTTTTATATTTTGATCATTTTTATTGAAAAAAGCTATAAATTTTAAATGATAAAAAATATCAAAAATAACTTTAAAAATATTTTATTTCTAAAAACTGCAATATAGTTTATTGATATAATGAATAGATATTTCTGTTTCTGAATATTTGAAATGAAACTTTGAAAGTAGAAAAGTTCCGTAAACATTACAAACAGTTTGTGCGACAATACCAAATTTAACTTAAAAGATTTTTTTATCGTTGTATCCAAATGTATAATAAATTTAGCACAGAATTTTTTTTACTTTCTATGCTTAAATTTCAATCATTTTTCAACTTCAATTACTACTTATCATTCAGTTCTTTTAACTTTTAATTATTTCAGCTAATGACAGATTAGATTTCTGCAAATCGTTATTAATTAGAGTATAATGAAAAAATATCAAATTCTGTGCATGGAATGCTATCATTGAAGCTTAAGCAGTTAATTACAGTCTATTCTTGAAAAATGTCATTTTAGAATTTTATTCTAAATTTTATTTAAACTAATTTTTGCAAAATTATCTCTTAAATTGTTAAGTGCATTTTTTAGCTAACTGATATTAAAAAACTGAAACACTGATAAATTTATCTCTTATATTTTGCTAGTAAGACAGGATGATGATTTGTTAAACTGTGGCATTTGACAATTAGAATAAATGATATTTCAAAGCCTTAAATAGATTTTCTGAATGTATGATTGTTAATGATTTTGTTTTATATTTTTTATATTTATTTTAGTATTTTTAGGGAAGTATTTTGTTCAAATTGATTTTCTGAAATTTTTAATTTTAATTAAAAGAGATAAAGAAATTGACAGTACTTAAGTTAAGTAAGAGTAATATCATTTAGATAATTCTTTGTGCAAGGCTTATTTCATTTAGCATTTCGATGTTTTTGAAACAAAATTTATGTTTATTTCATACAAAGTTTTGCATTAAAATGAACAGAAACTGAGAAATTACCAGTTAATTGGATTAGTATTCATAAGATAATCAATTTGCGCCCAGCTTAAAGCAATATTAAATGCAAGATATTGCATCCAGAGATGTAGAATTATTTGTTAACTTAATTTCCGTACAGTTTAAACTGTTGGTAAAATTTTTACTGAAATCTTCTTCGGAACTGCTTTTTTCTTCGAGAGTGGTTTCTTCCACAGAAAAATCTTTTCCCACAAAGTCTAAAAAATTTGTAAGATCATATATATATATATATATATATATTGCAAAAAACATAAATAAATGAGAAATAAATATCACAGTCCGATTAAACTAATAAATGAATGAAATTAATTTTGAAAAAATCTTACCAATGCCTTTTTCACTAATACTTTCTTCTTCGAGTGTTGTTGCTTCTTCCACAGAAAATTGCTCTTTCTCCATCACTTTTTCATCTCCGAAAATAAAATTAATGCAAATTAGAACAACAATAAGTGCTGAAAGCATTGTTGAAGTAAATTGTATCTGCAAAATGATACTTTAAAATTTTCTATTGGAAGATCAAAGATTCAATGAATTTTAGTCAGTAGCTTTCATAGGATACTATCAACTTTCCTTCAATATATGCAAAAGAATTATTTTCCTAGAAAACTGCAATGAGTAATATTTTTTTTTCAAAATTATCGACGAATGAGAATATTTCTTGACAGATTTGAAACGTTATGCAATTAATAAAATTTGAAATATTTTAAAATGATTGTAAATGGCCTTACAAAATGATTGGCCTTACATATCAATGCATATGGAGAAGAATTTTTGTTCTCTTAAAAAATTTTTCATCCTGATAAAAGGCAATGAAATTATTTAAAAAAGAAGAAAATGCTGAAATATTTATCGACTATCAGAAAAGTAAACAATAGTTGAAATGTTAATATTATGTACTTTAAACCTGATCTTAGTTTCTTCTTATCTGAAAACAGTTTGATGAATCATTATTGTTGATATTATATTTGAATTACCAATTAAAACGATTATTCACACTTTTTCGCATTCCATTAATATAAATATATTACAGCACAAAATGATTACTTTTAATTATTCTAATTTTTTTAATTAATTTGATTCATTTTAGTTTTATGTTCATTTTGTTCATTAAATAACTTTTATATCGTTAATTCTTTTAAATGAATTTACAGTAAATTTATTTGTTGTCAGTTCACTTTTGTATTTTATTTCTTAAAAAAAATGATTACATAATATGATATGATATGATTATTATATTTGTTTTATATTTTTGCTTTTTGAAGGAATATTATTAGCAAGTATTGTCAGTATGATTATTAAATACTTATTAATCAATCATATTAGAATATCAAATATGCCACATCAATCTTTTTTGTTTTCTTATTTTTTACTAATTTTTTATTTTTTCATTTTTTTCGGCTGTTTATTTTGCTATTGGTTTTATGTTTTTGTCCTTTGATAAATACTTTTTGCGACCATTTTAAATTGGTAAATTTGACAAACTAAAAAAGAATATAATCGAAAACACTCACAAGGAGAAATATTCACTAAAATAATGCATCTGTTATTAATTTATAAAAATTTCAACACTAATATTTATAAATGTTTAAAGACATAAGAATTATCATATAAACTGATTAAATATATGAAAATGTAAATAACTTAGTAATTATAATCCTTCAGTTTAGGAAGCTTTTTTTGCTCAAAATTTCATCAGATTAATCAGTAATGATAATTTCAAAATTCAATCCAAAAATGTACATTTTAAATTCATTCTTATCTATTTTTAATAGTTTTTACACTTAATT